GCATTCAATAAGGCAATTAAAAAAGGTGAAATAGCAAGCAAAATTAGTAAACAAGTGCCAGCATGAAAAAGAACAAGAAGAAGACCGCTGCTGAGATACAAAGCACAAATAGAAAATGGTGTAATGAACTTAAAAAAAAATTTGGAGAAAAACAGCACGAAACAGATCAGAATAGAGAAGAATCCTGGAACAGGGCAAGACTTAAAAAGGGTTGTGGAGCCAGTGATGGTGCTGATGAATGATTGTTTAGAAATATCATGCACGGTAAAATAATAAAAAAAAAGTTTAAGGCGAAGAACAATATCCTCGCTACGGAACTTGACTGAATAGTGGCTTTTAATTATTTTTAGAAGATCAGTTAATAAAGTCTATTACTAGTTATTATAATATTTAATCTCAAATAGAAGTGGCATTAGTAAAAGGAAAGTTTAAAAAAAATTTTTTTTTCCGAACATGGAGTTTTATAGACTCAGAAAAACTGTTCCAATATTGTCTTACAATTTTAACATTACAAGAAAAATGAAATAAAGATTGTCTACAAAGAGGTAAAATACATAAAGACTGGGTATCAGGAAAAAAGGACGAATGAAAAAGATAAGCAAGGAAACCTAATAGTGGACGAAGACCAAGTATATAAAAGATACAAAGAATACTTTGAAAAGATGCTAAATCACGAAGTGACTACTGAAGAAAATTATAATGTTCCTAAACCTTAAATAGTAATAGAAGAAATACAAAAACCCACAAGAGAAGAAATTAAAGAAATAATAAAAGATATGAACAATCAAAAAAGACTTAAGGAAAGCGGCATTGTGAGAACTTAAAATATGGAGAAGATGCTTTAATAAACCAATTTAGTGAGCTAATACTGGAAATGTGGGATACCGAAGAAATGCCTCAAGAATGGAACAAGTCCATTATAATTCCTCTACACAAAAAGGGAGATAGAACTGAATATGCAAGCTTTAAAAGAATATCCTTGTTAGAGGTAATAATATAAAGTGCTTGTCATACTAATTAAAAAAAGATTCGAGATATATGTAGAGAAGAATCTAGGAGAATACCGGGGAGGATTTCGCAAGGAAAGATCAACAACCGATCAAATTTTTATGCTAAAACAAATCCTGATCAATTACTATGAATACATCATTTCAGCACAAGTACTTTTAATTTATTACAAAGCCACCTACGATACAATAGACACAAACAAATTAATAGAAACGCCAAAAGAATTCGAAGTGCCAGAAAAAATAGTAAGATTGGTAAAACTGATAATTAGATAAACCATTTGTGCTGTAAAATGCAACGGTACAGTCTCAGAAGAATTCGAAGTGAAAAAAGGTGTTCGCCAAGGAGACTCGTTTTCTATCTTGCTATTCAATATAGTTCTAAAACAAACTGTAAGGGTTAGTGAAATAAATGGGTCCGGCACTATTTTATATAAAGATCAACAATGCAGAATACGTTGAAACTGTGCTTTTCATTGCAAGAAATGGAAAAGAACTAGCAAGTATAACAAAAAGACTGATTCGAGAAAGCTTTAAAATGGGACTGAAAGTTAATATCAATAGATCCAATAGGAACAGAAAACAATGGAAATTATCCATCCAGCAATGGACCTAAAACGCCTGTTAACGCTATACATATCTACATGTATATAAGGAAACAGAGTAGAATAAGAATCAGCGAAATTACTATGACATTGCTTCTTCATAACAGCTACTCATCATATATATACAGAAATATATAGAAGACTTTTTGCTTCCTGTCATGGGAGAACAATTCTTAAAAGATATCAGTCTAATACATCGGAGTACTGAAAATGAAATCTAGACACTTTTTACAATTTCTACAAAGTGTAAAATATTTAACATATCCGTATATTACTAATCTGCAATATCGACGTAATTATTAAGATATCTTTTAGTGAATATTAATAATTAGTAATTATTAAAAATTGCCGTTGGTAATTACTAGACTTCGGCAAATATGCAAATAAAAATGTAGAAAATATGCGCATAAATATGCACGTGTTCACCAGAAAATATGCAAATATTTTACAAAATATGCATACAAATAAATAAAAAAATCGTAAAATAGTAACAATTTTATTAAAAAAAAAGTGTACATAACTAAATATTTTCTACTATTCATTAAGATTTACATTTATTTTAAGTAACTACATCATTTTTAAGTATGAATAAACTTATTTAGAATTATGGTAACAATAAATGACCAAGTGGTGTTCTAAATTTTCTAACAAAAACTTGTGGCTTCTGTCTGAGTACATATGATGTAACGGGAGCATTTTTCAAACTAACCAAAACATTTGGTTCTAAATTAATTGTTTCCGAAATATTTTCAGCTAGAACACTGACTACTTCAGAAAGAATATGGTAACCTTTATTTTTTTCCATAGTAGCTTCAAATTTTTTTAAAATATCTTTTCCAATATTACCTCTAACGTTCCGACAAAATGACGCAAATTCTCTTATTAATGCTGTACTTTCGAACAATGACAGTTTTGGTGATTCTGAGTAATTGTTTTTTGAACAAAACTAAAATTTGATTTTATAAATGAAAGTTCTTGTTGAAGCATGTTACTCTGAAAAGTTTGTTTAGAATCCAAAAGAGATTGGGAACTTTCATCTGTTAACGTATCAATTATGTTCTTTATTTTAACAAAATGATCTGCATAAAAATTAGCTGCTTCTAATCATGTTCCCCATCGCGTTAAAATAGGTTGTGGTGGAAGAGGAATGTTAGGTAGCATTTCTTTATAAAGTTGAATTCTTATAGGAGATTTAAGAAATACTTTTTTGACACTGGATATCATGGTATTTACAAGAGGAAACTTTTTTCGTATTTCCTCTGCAACTCTGTTTAATCCATGCGCTACACAAGTAACCTGTATTAAATCTGGGAAAAATATTTTTAACTTTTGTCCTGCATTCACCATATAAGGAGCAGCATCCGATAAAATAAGCAGTAATTTATTAGAAGGAATAGTTGTCGGAAGAAAAAAAGTTGCTAATGTTTCTTGTATAAAACGCGAAATTGTTAAAGCATTTGTTTTCTCAAGTTGCTGGCATGAAATAAGATGAGATTTTGGTAAGGTATCTTCTTTAAGAACACCAATCAATAAATGAGCAATATACTTTCCTGAGGAATCAGTGGTTTCGTCTACAGATATGTAAAAATAATTATCTGCAATTTCTTCCTTAATATTAATTAACACCGACGAGTACAGCCCGTTCACATTATTTCTTCTTAGAGACCGATCACTTGGAACATTAAGTTTGCAATATTTTTTTAGAAACGAACTAAAATTTACATTTGCTAATTTTGAAAGCGGTATGTTTGCAGACACTAATGCGCGACACAAGTCTTCATTAAAAGTTTCTTGCTCATCTAATTTTTTTGAAGTAGATTGGAAACATTTAGCCATTGAAGTTTGATGTTTTCCTCCTATTTTTCCTTTTTTTGCAATGTGTGAAGCAGTTCTCACATGTTGGTCTATCTGAAATTTCTTCTCACATGCTATCTATAAATAAAAATAAAAACCTTTATTTTAACCCAACCTTTAAAATATAAAAATATACAAGGTGTTTTTGATTAATCAAATAACTGGTTTGGAAAAAAAACACTCGCTAAGTGTTTTAAATGCAGTATTAATCCACAAATAAGTTTTTGTTACTAACCATTAGTACATCATATAACTTATTTTAAAATTCAACAAAAGTTTTTTTTTTTGTTAATTCAATTACAATAAAAATAATTGTGTTTTAGAATAGCTGACTTCATAAAAAAAGTAAAGGTGAAAAATTTTTCTAAATACACACCATTGTATTGTACCATGGACAATTTTTTCTCACTAAAGGAAGCTATTTTTCATTTAAAAACAACCTACGAGTACTAAATTTCAAGTAAATACGTTTATTGGTTTTAAAGTTATTGTTGTTATTAACTAAAAGAATTTAATTTTTTTTAATTTTAACACCCTGTATCTCGAAAAGTAAATAAGTTTGACCCCTCATTAACTATATCGTTTTGTTCAATTTTTCAAGAAGTATCTACAGTCCAACGTTGTAACTGTCATTTGGAAACACCCTGTATGTATGAAATATTAGATATTTAATAGAAAATATTAGATACTTACAATTTTGCCACAGACTGAACAGTAGATTTTTCCCATATCCATAGACAGCTCTTTATAAGGTTTAGTCCAAGTTGAAGCACTGGTTGTTTTAGGCATTATAAAATCACAATCTTCCTTTTTGTTACGCACAACGAGTGTTTACGCTTTGAATATCAAAACAAAAATGATTTACAAATCTGAGCATCAAATTAGAAATGTTTAGGTACCTAATTCAATAAACTGGGAGATTTTGGAAAATCCCTAAATTAGGAACAAAACTATTAGCCATTTACCTGCTGTTAAGATACAATAAATTGTAGATAGATTTGGGAATTAGATCATGAAATGCAAATGAGCGAACCCTTAGCGATTATCCAATAACTGAATGCCTCAGTGACCGAGACTTTCTAAGAATGTTGAGGGCTACTTAAATTGATCTTCTTTGTCATTGTAAATATTTTGTACCTGTAGAGATTACGTACTTAGATCATTTCTTGATTAAAATGACTACAAAATTTTATACAAGAATTGAAATAAATTGGTATGTTTAAAAATTTTCAAATACAGTATAAAAATCTAAACTTTTATGCACTTTATGCAAACTTTTATACAAATATGGCAAAATATGAAATATTTGCATAAAATATGCACAATATGCAAAATATGCAATATGCATATTTGCCGAAGTCTAGTAATTACCTACCACTAAAATACTACTTGGCTCGTTTCATAGACGATTAAATTAATCGTTTTGACTCTTCTAAAAATTATGCCTTTTAGATATTTATTGAGTTTACTGTTGGTTTACAAATTTTTATAGCTTCTTTATAGTTGTCGAACTAAATTTTTATTTTTTTTTCAGATTTTTCTACTAGTATTCAGTTCATCTGGAATTCTAGCTCATCAATATGGTGCCTCTAAAGCTGAAACAAAAGGTGGCCTTAATTTGGGTATCGGATTAGGACTTGAAGGAAGCGGACATGACGCAAACTCGCAAACTAATGGTCTACCAGGAATAGGCGCGCACGTCAAAGCAAATGTTGATATTGCAGGAATGCATTTAGGCTACGACGAAGGAGTGGATCTGGGAGGTAGTAAAGGAATTGCTTTAACCAAACAAGTTGATGTCGCTGGCCACAAAGTAGGTGTAGAGCAAAATGAAATAAATCTGGGACAGAAAACAGGAAATCAGCCTGGCCAAGGTATCGATGGACAAGGTGGAGGGCATAGTAGTACATTGCAAGGAGATTTATCCGGTAAAACAGAGGGGGCAGTTATATTGACAACTGATGGTAGTCAAAGAACGCAAACAAAATCGCAAAATACTAAGGGTTTACCTAATCTTGGCGACATTTTACTAGGAAGTGGAATCAACACTGGTAGCCAAGATCACGGAGCTACCAACACAAATCAAGATGGAGTATTCAAAGCTATAAGTGGTATATTTGGAAAAGATAAACAAGAAGGTCAGAGAGGTGATGCAGATACTCACACAGGAAAACCAACTAATTTAGGTTTAGATGGAGTAAAAAGTATCGATTTAACAAAAACTGTAAATGGTATATTTGGAATAGATAACCAAGAAAGTCATACAGGTAGTGGAAATATTCACAGAACTACTGGCATTGAAGGAAAAGCAACAAATATAGACACCAATCAACTACATACGAATTCTTATGGGTTAGACAGCTATGGAGGCAGTTCTGGAACAACAAGAGGTAATTCGAATGGCAAAAATTTGGATATAGGTCACCAATATAATTCTCTTGGACAACATACACAAGGTAGCGGTAGTTATAGTGGTAGCTCCAGTCATAGTTGGTCAAATTCTGAACGTCTTCATTCTCATAAATCAGGTAGTTCTAAGGACAGCTCATTACATTTTGGTAATCGTCCGTTTTTCGATGACCATTCAGCGGAAGATTCTGAAATAATTACTTCTGGAACTGGCCACAGTACAAAAACTGTCATACATGATCATGGACGTGACCATTCTCATGCATCAGGCAATTCTAGGGGTAATTCATTACATTTTGGTAATCGTCCGTTTTTCGATGATCATTCAGCAGAAGATTCTGAAGTGATTGTTTCTGGAAGTAGTCACAGTTCAAAAAGTACCACACATGATCAGGGACGTGGTCATTCTCATGTATCCAGCAATTCTAGAGGTAGTGTAGTACATTTTGGTAATCGTCCGTTTTTTGATGATCACTCAGCAGAAGATTCTGAAATTATTACTTCTGGAAGTGCTCACAGTACAAAAACTATCATACATGATCATGGTCGTGACCATTCTCATGCATCAGGTAATTCTAGGGGTAATTCATTACATTTTGGCAATCGTCCATTTCACGATGATCATTCAGCGGAAGATTCTGAAATGATTGGTGTTGGAACTAGTCACAGGTCAAATAATCATAGACACGACATCTCTACTGGACACGGAGTGGGTCTTAATTCAGCTATAAGTGGAAAACAGGAAACTGGAGAAAGTTATGGAACAGGCCACTCATCAGGTGGACATGTTCACAAGATAATTAATGTTATTGAGGTTGAAAGAAATCATAGAGATTATGGATCGCATCATTCTTCGTCAGGTGAATATGTTCACAGAATAACTGATGGCATCAACATTGATAGAGATCATAGAGGTCATGGATCAGGTCATTCGTCTGTCGTAGAATCTGGCCATACTGGGGGATTAGGATTGGGTCTTGCTGGCAGCCATAGGTCTGGGGGAAGTCATGAATCAGGGGGAGAATACAGTCACGGGATAGGTCTTGGAATTGGTATTGGAAGTAATCACAGAGATGTTGATGACTTCGGCAGTAGCAGTGGAACTGGATCACATGGACAGGGTGTTGATGGACATGTTGTAGTTGGTGGATATGGAACTGGCCCCTCAGATAGAGGAGCAGGTGCTGGGATTGGTCTCGGAATTGGTATTAAAGGTGGTCAACATACTAGCAGCGGATATGGTCACAGTTCATATTCTGGTTGATATCACTTTTTAATGGGAAATAAGACTTAAGAAATATTTTTTGATAATAATAATATATACCAATATATATGATTGTTATACCAATTATTTTGATTTATTATTAAAAATTTAAATAAATAGTATTTTCACTGTCGTTCCATTTACACTTTTTTTATTTTCTGGTTTATTATTTGATTAGTACGGGTGCATATAACAAAAAGAACGTAAACACAAACAAACACGGTTAATTTTAACGAAAGTACAAGCTGAATATAGCCGTAAATGTCAACCATGAAATAAAATATTTCGGTTTGGCAGTGTTGGGATCTTTTTATAATGCATATATCGTCAAATATAAAGACAGAAAGCTTTTAAAAAGTACATTTTGAATATATTATTTTATGAATTCTGTAATTTGTAATATATATATATATATATATATTTTAGTGGATTCTCTTGGGCTTAAGTTCATAAAAAAAAAAATTAGTTTGATACTAAGACATTTTTATATATATTTTTTCCGACGTTTCGGCAGGAAATCCATGCCTTTTTCAAGAATATATATTGACTAAAAAAAAACATTCTATTACAGACATAATATGGTTTAAAAAATAAACTTTTGACTTACCAAGCATGTAAAGATTTGGTGTTAACAATTAGACGTCACAATTAAAATAATATTAAAACATAGGACATACCCACTAAGTCACTAAAAGTAAAATGTATTTTAAATCTAATGTGTTGTTTACTGATGTTAGCTTATCATTTAAACAATGTTATTTTAACATCATAGGCGTTCTGAGATTGACTTATGTATATTTAAATTAAGTTAAAATATATTTTGTTCAAATTTTTGACATCTTTTTTATCATTTATTGCGTTATTATTTTTTTTTATTTGTATAGACTCTAGAAGCTCCCTCTTCTTCCTGTTGGGTTCACTTTTTAGGATCTTGGTTTGCTCAAAATCAAATTTATGTTTTTTTTCGTTTTCATGTTTTGTGAGGACGGTTGAGTTTTTTTTGTCATATTTGTTGGAACGTATTCTTGAATTAAGTAGTTGACTGGTTTGTCCAATATAAACTCCATCACAATTCGAGCAGGGAATTTCATATACAACATGTGATCTTTTTAATAGAGGGGTTTTTGTTTTCAATCTAGTAAAATTCCTTTTCAAAAGATTGTGACCTTTATGAGCAACCGTAATATTATGTTTAGACAGAAGATTTGCTATTTGTTCTGATAATCCTTTTATATAGGGGAGAGACATACAGTTTTTCTTTACCGTGTTGGTTTTATTATTATTATTGTTATTGTAAAATTTATGCAGTCGCGATTTGAAAGTGTTGTCGATAAGGTGGTGTGGGTATGAATTAAGTGTAAGTGCTGTTTTTGCTTTTTTAATGGCCTGAGGTCTATTGATAGGATCGGATAATCTAATAGCTCTATCAGCGAGTCCGATAACTACTGATTTCTTTTGAGACAGGGGATGATGAGAGTTGAAATTTAGATATCTCGACGACCAGGTTTTTTGGTGTACAATGAAGTAGTTATAGTGCTGTTTTCTCTATGCAAGGTCAGGTCCAGAAAATTAATTTGATTATTTTTTTCAATTTCTAATGTGAATTTTAGTTTTTGGTGAAAGTTATTGAATTCATTTAGTAAATTATCCATTTTATCCTCTGGTGCTGCACTCAAGCAGTCATCTATATAGCGATAGAAAAAAGGTATATCAAAATCTATTTTATTTAAAACAATTTCTTCTAGATGCTCTAAAACTAATTGAGCGATGGCACTGGATATGCTAGCACCCATAGGACATCCATCAGTTTGTTGGAAGATTTTGTTTTTATATTGGAAATAGGTTGACTTTAATGTTGTTTCGACTGCTAGCAGAAATTCTTCTAGAGGGATGTCTGTGAACGCTTTGATTTCGTTCCACTTTTTTTTAATTATGTCTTTCACTAAAGCTATTGGAATATTGGTGTATAAAGATACCACATCGAGAGAAACTAATTTATAGTTTGGAGGTAAATGTATATTTTTGAGTTTTAATTTCAGATGATCAGCGTCTTTTAAATAGTGTGGATTTTTATTTATTACGTTGGAAATAATGTTTTTCAAATATTTTGAAAGGTTTTCAAAAGGAGACTGAATACATGAAACAATAGGTCGCAGCTGCACACCCTCTTTATGTGTTTTGGGTAGACCGTATATTTTTGGAATTACAGCATTATGTATCTTAAGGGAATTAGCAGTGGTTGGTGAGATGTAGCACATTTTTTCCCATCTGTCGACTAATTCGTTGTTTCTTTTTTGTTATTTATATATTATTGTTATATGTTATATATTATATATATATATATATATATATATATATATATATATATATATATATAGTTTGAGTTTAGTTCTTGAATATATATATATATATATATATATATATATATATATATATATATATATATATATATATATAAAACAATAACGAGTAAATATTTGTCTTTCGAGATTAATTGCAAACATCTGTTGTAATCTGGCAACTGGTGGTTTGAGGATTGCCAAATCTAGTCGCTACTATCAAAGGTCAATTACCAAAAAAAAAAAAAAAATTCTAATAATTAACTGCAATTAACCTCCAAATATACAAATATAAAAATTGCAGAATTTATAACATAATATAATCAAAATGTACTTTTCTTTTTTTATAATTGAAGCATACAACATAAACATGCCAAAACAGCCAAACCAAAATATATTGTTTCATTGTTGACATTTGCGGCTATACTCAGCTTGTACTTGCGTTAAAGTTAACCTAAACAAGAATTTTAATAAGGTAATATAAATATCTAGGACACAAAAAGGGATGTAGGTAAACATAAAAATGAAAACAAAAGAAGGCAATAAGAATAAGAGAACACAACAAAAGCATGAAATTATTAAGATAACAGGTAAATGGCAAAATAAATATTCCAATTCAAAGACAGAAATTACAACTCAAAGAAAAAGCGATAAGATAGAAGAACTCATAAGATAGAAAGCGAGTAATACAAATTGTAGAAGTATTCAACAAAGAATTATTGCACAGACTCCCCTACCCAATGTAAATTGACTCAATGTAACGTGTTTTAAAACGGTAATTTTGTAAAAGTACAAATTCATCAATCATCATCAATCAGCCAATCGCGTCCACTGCTGGGCATAGGCCTCCCTCAGTTCTTTCCAGTGTTCTCTACACTGGGCCGCTTGTAGCCAGCACACGTTTAATGTCATCGGTCCATCTAGTCGGTGGTCGTCCTCGGCTTCTTTTATAATTTCTGGGCCTCCATTCCATAATACGTCTTGTCCACCGTCCATCTTGTGTTCTGGCTAAGTGCCCTGCCCAGTTCCACTTAAGCGTCGTGGTTCTTTCGATGACGTCTTGAACTCCTGATCTTCGCCTGATTTGTTGGTTTGTTATGTGGTCTCGAAGGCTCACGTTCAGCATTGCACGTTCCATGGCTCGTTGTGTAACTCTAAGTTTATTCGCAGATTTTTGCGTGAGTGTTAGAGTCTCTGCTCCATAAGTTTGTACAGGTAAAACACATTGGTTATAAACCTTTCGCTTGAGACACATGGGAATTGAACTTTTTAGAATATGGCTTAATTTGCTAAATGCTGCCCATGTTAGATCTATTCGCCTCTGTATTTCATGTGTTTGATTGTCTCTGCTTATTTTGATTTCGTGTCTCAGATATTTGTAAGTGTCTGTTTGTTGTATGGTATTATTGTCAATAGTTATATTTCCACTCATTACGAGATTTGTTATAATTTTAGTTTTCTCAAAGTTTATCTTTAATCCTGCTCTCTCAGACAGACTTTTAAGCGAATGCATCATAGAAACTGTATCATGTAAGTTATCTGCGATTAATACAACATCATCTGCAAACCTTAGGTGATTTAATCTTTCTCCATCTATATTGATGCCCATATCTTGCCATTGAGTACCCTTAAATATTGACTCTAGAGCTGCCGTGAACAATTTTGGTGAAATATTGTCTCCTTGTCTAACTCCTCGACCTAAGCTGAATTTTTCTGTGTCTTCGTGCAGTCGTATACTTGATGTAGCGTTATGATAGATGTTTTTGATTAGTGTTGTATACCTGTAATCTATTCGGCTTTGATTTAGGGCTTCCAGATTGTTTCAAACTCTACAGAATTAAAAGCCTTTTCGTAATCGACAAATGCAAGAACCAGTCGTATGTTGGACTCGATGCACTTTTCTATTAAGATCTTTATGGTATGCAAATGGTCATTTGTGCCATATCCTGCCCTGAAGCCTGCCTGTTCTTTGGTCTGATAGAAATCAAGTTTAGGTGTTAGCCTCTTTGTTAAGATTTTCATAAAGAGTTTGTACATATGTGTCAAGAGGCTGATGGGTCTATAATTTTCTAATTTAGTAATATCGCCTTTTTTGTGTAACAAGACTATTACTGCATTGGTACAGTCTTTTGGAATCGTACCCGCATGTAAGCATTTAGTAAACAGTTCGCTTACTGATTTTAATAAAATTTCTCCACCTGCTTTTATTGCCTCGATAACGAGTCCATCATCACCAGGCGATCGATGGTTCTTCATTTCCTTTAAAGCTGCTCTTACTTCTGACACAGGAATGGGTAAAAGTACTTCCGATCCCTGATTTATGAGCGTCTTTACTCGTGTCGGGAAATTGTCTTGTGGTCTTTGGCTGGTATAGAGGTCTTTATAAAATTCTCTAGTTATTTTCAGAATATTTTGTTTATTTGTTGTTGCCTTTCCGTCTTTATCTCTCAGCTTGTATATTTCTTTTTTACTTTGCGTAAGTTTCCTTTTCATTATCTTTAAACCTTTGTTCTCTTCTACTGTTTGAGTAATTACATTAGTATTATATCTTCTTACATCTTTTCTAATTTCCGCTGAAATTTTTTATTTAGTTTTTTATATTCTTCTTTATTTCCCTTTTCGTTTTCTCTTAGGTTTCGTCGTATTTCCATGAGAGCCCTTGTATCTTTGCTAATCTTTTCACTTTTGGTGTCATTTTTCTTGCAAAATTTGAGTTGTGCGTTTCTAACTGTTAAAAGTTAAACAGTTAAAAGTATAAATTGGTAAGGAGAAAAAGAGGTCCTAAGTTGATACAAGTAATATTGAG